TAGGCACATGTGAAATGAGGTGCGAAAACAATTGAGATTTCGTCGGTGACATACAGGATCATATATACAAGTGGAGAGAAAAATGAAAGAAGAGTTGAACTGATATTAGACAAAGACATAAAGAAATGTGTTCCGGGTACTATCAACTATCTGAAAGAATTCTTGTTAAACTGAAAAGAAAGCCTTTCGACATACACTTCATAGTTTTATATGCACCGACAGCACAAAGTACGGAAGAAGATATCGAAAAGCTTTACTATGATTGATACAAATCACAAGAAAATCCATTTGTAATGGGAGACTGAAATGCCAAAGAAGGTAAGGAGAGAGCTGATGAAATAGTTGGCAAATTCGGACGAGGAAATCATAATGTACGCGGGGAAATGGGTCCAATTGTGCACGGCCAATGATCAGATAGTAGTCTTGGTTTCAAAAACATTCAAGACGTATATGAACATGGAGAAGCCCAATAGGAGAAACAAAAAACCAAATCGACTATGACTATCAATAAGATATTTCGGTACCCAGTTTTACACTGCAAAACATATCCAAGTGCCAACTGCGGGGGCGACCACCTTCCAGTGATATGTGAAACTACGGAAATTAAAGAAGGCCAAGGCAGCCCTCAAATTGCAATAAGGCAGATTCCTGAATGACCCCTATGTAAAGGAGAAATTTATGGACAGTGTTAAAAGCAGATACAATGGACAAATTGAGAATGGAAACTCGAAGTGGGATACATTAAAAGAAGCAATCGAGATCATTCCAAAGAAAACTAGACAAAGAAAAAAAAAGAATGTTTGACAGATTAAATTTTCGGCAAAATGAAAAGGAGACAAAAAACAATGTCACGGTACGACATAGAATATAGGACACTGCACAAGGAAATTAGGAATAAATGCAGGCAAGTCAAAGAGGAATGGCTCAACGAAAAATGGGCAGAAATATTAACTATAGTATCAGAGGTAAAACAAATATGCATAAAAAATAAGAGAACAGGACAAAAGACATGATCATCAATAGAATGCTTAAAATTCAAGGACGGGGCACTGATGATGGAACGAATACATCAAAGAACACTTCCACGGCGAAAGAGGGCAACCAGCAATACGCAGAAATATCGAAGGGCCAGAAATATTAAAATCTGAAGTGGAATCAGCATTGGACAAATTGAACAGAAACAAAGCGGCAGAACCAAACGGAGATGCTGACAGCCTTAGATGATTTCAGCATCGACAAGATTACAGACATAATAAATGAAATATATAACAGTGGTGATATATCAGAAGAACTAATTAGATCTATTTTAATATCACTGCTTAAGAAACCAGGTGCGAACGAATGTGAACTCCATCAGAAAATCAGACTAATGAGCCATATAAGAAAACTTATCATCCGAATTTTGATGAACAGGGCACGTGGCAGAATTAGACTGGAAATAGGACAAGAACAGTGCGGGTTCGTTAAAGTCATTAAAACAAATAATGCAATATTTATGCTCGTAATGACATCACATATGTACTTGTGTTTTATAGATGATGTAAAAAGAACTGTTGAATCTGCTAGGCAACCTTCACATATTTGGGAAAGATATTATAAAAACCCAGATCCTATAGTGGCAGAAAACCTCTTACATGCGGATAGAAAAGGAATTCAGTAGATATACAAAAATAGAAAGGGGTGTAAGACAAGTATGGTCCAGTTGCTTCGTGCTTCGTTGAATGCCACTCTTACTATGGCCCGTCTCCGGTGAGCCCACTTTGCACCAATCCTGCATCCCAATGTTGTGTTTCAGTATATGAAGGAATATTGGTGAAGAACTGTCGAGGATCAAGCTCGACTCCTCTCTGTTCTGGCTATGCTAGAAATTTAATTAACTTCAACAACACTTATTAACCAGTGTAAAAATAACAACTTTTATTAATGGTACTCTGATTGATTACGATCATGAATACATAAACAAAAGACATTTGTAGAAGTTTCCCCGTATAATGAATTCTTAAGCTGAGTGGAAGAGGTTGACAAGCGGTTGCAGTTATGGCTAAACAGCCCAGAGTCGTTCAGCTATTTAAATGAAGGCAATTGATCGAAAGAATTAAAAAAAAAACGCACAGAGAACATGACTTTAGCTGATTGAGGCATCACGGTCATCCAACAGGGAAAGTGTTGGTCTACTAGCGGCGAGATCAGTTCGATCTTACTTCTTTGCTTTTAATAGGGGTACAAACCCAATTGCACTGCTCTGATTGGCTAGCTAATAATAATGCTTGACCAATGAGTCATACGCCTTGAAGGGGAGGAAGGAGAGCCCCCAAGAAGCCAATATGATTGGTGGTCCAATCAAAATAATGGTCCTGTGTCGTAAGTATTGGAGGGGAGACGAGAAGCTCAATCCTAGCCCTTCTCTCACTGGTGAGTCAATCAAAAATGGTGGCTTTGTACCGCCCATATCTACCATCAATGGAACATTTTCCATGTTCCAGAATCTCAACCTCATTTGACCTGATTATCACAAGTGTCATCGTCAATTCTATTTGAAAGAATGTTATATTCCTGATCGAAACAAACCTGACCTATTAAGATCTGCTTTGTGCCACGCATTCCAATGAACAATTTCTTTATCAAACTTATCACTTAAGTTAAACAGACCTAAGACTGTACCTAATGACCAATCCCACCCAAGCTTACTATTTCACCTCCCACACTAGACTCCATAAGTGACACAAATCAAATAATTCATAGAATTGCATTAACATGAAAATATTTTTCTTCCTTTATAAATATGAATTAGATCGCAAGTCAACGTTTGACACCAATTATGGTGTCATACAAGCATATGTCTTTTCACCGGACTTATTCAACCTCTATACAATGAGATGATTCTGATAGAATTAAAAGTCATACTAGGATTCATTATTGGCGGTCACAATCTTAACAAAAGATATGCAGATAACATAGTGTTGATATCAGACACAGAAAGGAAATCACAAGAACTTCGACAGAAGATAGTAAAAGAAAGAGAGAAGAAAAGACTAAACATCAATTGCAAGAAGACAAAATATGAGGAAAGTGTGCTTCGGAAATTTGATACTCACAGTACAATACCCCTAAAAATAAAATAATTACGAGGGATAACAAAAAAGGCAAAATTTATTAAGTGCTACAAAGGACAGGAAGATGACATTATTTTGGGACACTGAGGCTAATTTATGAAGCAGAGCTGGGTCTGGCACAAGGCCATAGCAGTGGAGTACCTGGTAGGAATCAAGCACGAATGGCTCAGTGAAACAAGTTTACAAATCTTTTCTTTACAGACGCCATAAAGCATTAACCACGCTTCCCTGGCATAAGGCCACAAGTGCGGGGTACCCAGTGAGGATCGAACGCACAACAGTAGTAATTCTCTAAGTTTTGCTAAACAGAATAATTTTGATTACCAATTTATTCACGGTTCAAATAAAATTATCCCATGATTATGATTGTAGTGTGTTGCATCTTTAATGATTTTCGGAGGAATTAGTGGGTGAATGTTGGGGGGGTACTTCAAGTTGGCGTTGTCTCTCTCCTCCCCAAGTGACATATAACAAGTTGTAGAAAGGCATGCCTTTTGGTAAGAGTAGCAATCTGGCCTACCTGTGGTGTCAGCAAAGCTATATGGTTATATCCCCATTTTAGATGAGAGAAGTTGCTCAACGCCGGGGATTCCAACCCCGCGGCAGCACCTTCCTCATCGCGGTAAGAGCGGTTGGGTCGGTGTAATACCGATGCCAGCGTGACAATGGTCGTGGGGGCTGGACAAAAATCAAAATTTGTCCTTGGCCCTTTTGTCTTTGGTATGTGTATGGTGTTCCCCGCGTTAAAACGACCTTGTGTCACATCCAGCCTTGGTGGGGAGGCCTGAACTGGCCTAGTATTGATGGAGGTAATTAATACGTTTCATAAAATTATTAGGGTGAGTGAACACGAAATACCTCAGCTGGAATTTGAACTCTGGAATTTTTTGTGCTGTTAACAATTGACTTGTTTATGTTAAATCCGCACTTCATTCGCTATTAATATGTAAAATCGGAATATGCTGATCTCAAGGGAGATAACTATCATAGCTTTATCACATCCTGTGATAATTGATTTCATTTACCGTGGGAAGGAAAGGTTTTGATTAATTTCTGATATGTTTGAAATTTTCATAAATCAGTGTCTATTTAAATAGACAAAATAGTTGTTACTGTGAATCTGATACGTCAATATATTTTTTCAAGTTAGATCTTTAACTTTATTTTTTTGTTGACCATTGTTTTTTGTTCAATTGATCCATTTACACAATTTTTGCTGCTTGGCCTCGATTTAAAAATGTATTTTTTTTTTAGTCACCTGATTTTACAATTAATAAGGCCGTTTTAAGCGTTGGACTTTTGCATATACACGTATACGTCGATAAGAAAAGGACACTTTATTATTCTTATTGTTCATTACTTTGTGTAGTAGTAGTTTTAATAGTTCAACTAGAAATCAAGTCTGGCTTCCGTTGAATTTTTAAGTTGAACACTTTACAGCGCCGACAGATTTAACTCTACCACACCTACACGCATTTTTGCTGTTTTTTTTTTTTTTTTTAATTTGCTCAAAATATTTAGTTAGAATTTATAACAACAACTTTAATAATTCACATAAAACTCTCTCCACTCTCTTTCTTATATTTTTATTTATTCTTGGTCCTTTTTTTTTAAGTGCCGTTTCAACTTTAGGATTAGAAAAGTTGAAAAGTAACCTTTTTGTTTGAGTTTTTCAATATGTTCCTTTATATCATAGTATTTAGCACAGTAACTGTGGTTGGAGTGCTTCTATTAAAATTGTCTTTTCGTCATAATAGACATACTCGACCCTTAAGTTACCAATGTCCAGTAAGAATGGATGGTAAGACAGTTCTTATTACTGGAGCCAATTCTGGAATTGGCAAGGAGACGGCCATCGGTCTGGTCTCTTTAGGGGCTAAAGTGATTATGGCTTGCAGAAATTTGGAAAAGGCTGAAGCAGCTGCTGAAGAAATTCGCCAAAAGACTGCAGTTGATCCCAGTCTTGTGTCCATTGTACAATTGGACCTTAGTGATTTGGATTCGGTTCGAAACTGTAGCCGGAAAGTAAGTATCCTGTTTTAACTATTCTTATTCAGTTGTTTGAATTGTTATCGATGAATTTTAAAATGATTTTTACCGCTTAAAAGTGTTCAAGATTTGTTGGTAAGTTGATAAAAATAAAGTGGCCTCTTTCGAGCTTCTCTGTGGACAATAATGTCTTATGTTCATTAGATCAATTACGACTGAGTAGTGTGTTCAATCCCCACTTGCTTATGACTATATTTTGAAAAATGATGTTGTTTACTTTGCTTAGCTAATTTTTGGCACAAGTTCGTAATTATGGAGTCTTTTAGTAAGGAAGGACTGAACTGGTCGAGTCTGTCCGCTTTTACAGCCATCCACTCATTACGAGATGCCTCGATAACGTAAAAAAATCATTTTAAAACTTAAAATAGATGTATGAAAACTTAATGTAATTGTACACTTACATGCTTGAGTTTCTACTGTTTTTGAAGCTTCACCAAATTCGTAACCTTGTTAATATTTTGAACAATTTTTTTTCCTTGCAGGTCCAAAAGTTGTTATTGATTTGAAGGCGAAAGCGTACGATAAAACATCCTTAGGAAAAATAAGGAATTTTGTAATCCTCTTTTCTTTTTAAATTTAAACTTTAGCTATTGCAGTTGATTTTATTTTAAAAACAAAAAAAAAAAAAAACGATTTGTTTTTAAAATAAAATGTACAAACAAAAATATTAGCGGATTTCATTGACCCATTATGAATAATACTCAAAAGAAAAATTAACTTCTCCAAAGGATATTTAAAGAAAAAATTTAGTTTAAAAATAATAAAAAGTTAAGAAAATAAGTGAACGATAAATAAATTGTTTTTTATGACCTAAAAAGCGTGCCCGGTAACCGGGTAGTCGTGTTTGCTAGTTTCTGAAATGAGTATTACTATTATTGTTACTCAGTTTCTCATGGATTGTAGCACTACTTAGATCCGTCTACACTACACTCATAACAGAAAAAAAATTCTTGTAGGTTAGCATTCTTTAGGCCGCGACACTCATCAGAATAGAAAAATATTGATTTGTTATTTTTGAAGACGGCTCATCTTTAATATCGATAGAGTTATTGGCCTTGGGCTAAGTAACTTAGCTGCTATATAAATGTCAATGTAAATGTGCCCCACTGCCAAGTGATATCTACCGCCGTATATATTCGAGAATAGGTTGCATTTTTTTTCACCAAAATTTCGATAAAAATTAGTAGTGCGACCTATCCACTCAGCATGAAATAGACTGTGACGTATCAATACTCTAGGCGAGTACCCTGGGCTGGTGCATAATCGAGAGCAAGGAGAAAATGACATTTCGATTTTTTGTCAATCGCCCTTCCAATAGTAACGCGTCAGACATCGAATAAAAGCGCTCGATCTACTGTACATATTTGCCATTTATTATTTGATTTACGATGAAAGACTATCATTTTCAAATGGTTTTAGGATTGAAGCGATTACCGGTATCTAGATTTCCATCTCTCTAGCAGCCCCGCACTCGATAAGTAACCACACAATTCACTTTTTCATGTTTTTATGATAAAAATTTTATCATATGTAAGCAAAGTTTTGAAATAAAGGTGATTTAAATATTTAATTTAACAAATATTAGTTATATTTATGTTAAAAAAGGGCCATGTAACTCCCCAGATTATATAGTGTGACCTACCTGCGAGTCCCCAGCAAATACCTTCTTTGACAACCCCAAACTAAGGGTACAACACATCTACTAATGCGACCTATAGACCCAACCCAAACGGTACATCGTTTTTTTTTTTCTGAATTTAACATTTTTATAAAGTTTTTAGCATTTTCCTAAATACTTTTTTTTAATTTTTTGTATGGGATTTTTCGAACGCACATGCATAAACATTTTGCAGTTCATAATTATTTATCTTAAATTAAAAAATAGATAAAAATGGATACGTAAATTTCTTTAAAATTCTTTACTTTGTTAAAAAATAAAAATGTATATCCGATTCTTCATTATTTAAGAGAATTTTGTTTTGTAGCCCCAACCAAAAAAAAAAAAAAAAAAAAAAAAACGGTCCAATCTAACAGCTCTATAAAAGTCAGGAATTGATACTGTATCAATCAATATTAAACAGGAACTCCGCCTTCTAAATCGATAACAAATCAATATTTTTACATTCTGACAAGTGTCACGGCCGAAAGAATGCTAATCTACAAAAATATTATTTTAAAATCCTTATATTTAAGAATGGGCGAGTTCGTTTTGACTTTTGATAGTGTCACTGTCAATGGATAATTGAAATTTTAAAATTTTTTTAAATATTCATGCGTAAACCGTTTATGTAACATTTTCTTTCGATTTAAAAAAATATATATTTGTAGTCACCTGATAGCCAAGAATTACTACCGTTCTGTTTAGAGTTTACCACTTACTAGATTGTTTCAAAAGAAACTGAAAGGTATCAAAAAGTCAAAGGTTCTTAGTTCTACACACAATGCCACATGTACATTATTACTTGATGTCAGAAAAGAGGATCCCGACATGCTTGCTTGCATCATTTGAGTAGGGTTTAAAAAAACAGATAAACTTGCAGCAGTTACCTACATTGACAAAGATTTGGGCTTAGTAGAAACTTGTTTTTACTTACAATCAGCTTTTTGTTTCTATATAAAAAAAAAATCTATGTATATTACTGTTTCAAACATTTCGCATTTTTATCACAGTTTTTATATTTGATAGATAGACATTAACAGAACTTCACGACGTTACTGTTATCCGGCATCCGGTGTAAGGACCGAACTTTGCTAGGAGCCCAAGTGCATCTGATAATTTATGCCACAGTCAATGTCCTCTTCAATCATATATTTATTTTTTTTTTCGCCCCAAGCAACGTCAAAAACTTAGTTTCTTTGTAAGACTCATTTTTATTTTGTCACTATATTCAACAATTTTCAGTTTTTATTGTAAAAATGTTCAGTTAAAGCATATGACTTTTTCTATTTCTTATATGGACAAGTTCTAGGAGAATTTATTCCTTAAATTATCAATTTTTGGTCAAAGAGGGCCACCAGTTACAGAAAATGTTTTGAACTGTAAAATTTAAAATAAAAAAACAAACGAACAATAAAATTAAAACTATTTAATTTCTTATGGACACTATTAAAAAAACTTTCTTCAATGAATAATGAATTTTTACATTTTTTTTATAGTTAGAATAATTTATAAACTTTTAAAATCTCTGTATTAATTTGTTGCGGTAAAGTGATATTGTTATTAAATAAAAACTATAGTTACTAATCATAAACCAAAAAGCTTACTGCAATTCAGCACCCTCTCAGTTATTTTAAAAAGAATTTTTAATTTTTTCATGTGTGTATAAATGTGCCTATTTTTGTAAATATGGACACCCATACACAACATTATCAGAAAATAAGAGCAGTAACTATAGTAAATTTAAAAATTATTGGTAATTTTCTAATATTTTCTCAGCATACATCTACATAAGACTATAAAGCCAAAGTACCAAAAATTTAATAAAATATTAAAATGTTTAAAATATTTTAAATTGTTAATATTAGTGCGTAGTTACAAAAAAGGTGTTTATGTTGCATTCATCATTTAATTTTATTACAAGTATTTCATCCTTACCTAAATCTTGCAATCATCAGGTTATTGATAAATGTGTCATCGCCTCATAAAAATGTCCACTTCAATGTTAAAAAAAATACTTTTCTGTGATATTTTAAACTATAAGTAATTTTTTAATTCATATTAATTCAACTTTAAAATAGTTAATCTCCCTTGAATATAATTTCAGAAAAGTATATTTTATTTTTAAAAGATTTTTTAATAAAATTATTTATGTGGTGTTGACAGATTTGTAAATATGACCGATTTTAGTGATTTTTATTTTTTATTTTTTATTTTTAAATCATTCCAATCAATTCAAATTCAGCTTGGAATACACCAGTGTTTTGCAGATTAGAAATATTAAATTTTATTCTATTAACTTACAATTAAAACTAAAAGAAAAAGAAAGATTTTGCATCTTTAAAATCCATTTTATACCTTTCAAAAATATTAAAACAGTTATATATTCAATGTAAACTTTGCTTTTCATATGGTTGAGGAGAAAACTCAAGGGAGAAAATCACTAAAGTGAAAAGTTAACTTTATTGAATTTTTGTGGGAATAAATTTTAAAGCCAGAGCCAGCAAAGCAAGAGTTTCATTTATAATTTATGTATAATTAATTCCAAAATGTACATTGAGTCCAGCATTGACATCAAATCTTTAATAATGTAGATATATTGCTAAACTGGACCTGTGCCCAACTTTATGCAAATATGGGGATAATTTTAAAGTCTTTTTCAGTCTGTGTTGTATGTCTTTTTTTCTTTCTTTTTTTCCTAGTACATGGGCAATTATAGCTTTCTATAACACTTTGGGTTTTTTTGTTGTTGTTCTAAGTAGTTTTCTTTCTTTATGACTCCTCTTTGTCATTGTGGTACTTGTTCTTTCATTCATTTACTCAAACTCAAGGAGGTTGCTTATGTTTTTTCACCTGATTCTAGTCTTCAGTGTGCCCTATAATTGTTAAATTCTCCAAGCTTTCTTTATTTTAGAATAAACCTTCTGTGTTCTAATGTATTAATAGTTGCACAAAAATATATTACCCATTCTTAATGATTAAAGTGTCCTCTTTGTTAATTTTATATCAATCTCTTTCAGAATTTAGCTTAAAACATTATATTCCCATCATCTTGAACATGAAAAAAGATGTGATTACCTTTTTTTTTTTTTTTTTTTGCAGAAGTTTAAGCTTGGTCATAATGCTTCTCAAACTACTACCAACATTAATATATCATGGAGTAAAGAGTCTACTTGCAATTGGACAATATGGCACTGGTTTCTGAAATCCCACAGCGGGGATATGAGTCTTGAAGTTTGAGTTGCTAGAGGATGTTCATTTGCAATTGATAATCAACATTTGAAAACAGTGGTCAAACAAAACCCATGTCAAAGTATCTGAGAAAATGGCTCAGATGATCGGTGTCAGTATTTCAACAGTATCAGACCATCTTGAGAAAATTGGCATGGTGAAGAAACTCGATAAAAGGGTTTTACACAAATTTGGTGAACATCAAAGAGTTTGACATTTTGAAATGTTTGATGTTTCATCTGCAAAATTTGAGTGGTCTATTTTATGATTAAGTAGTAACAAAAAGCTAAAAAAAAAAGTTTCTAGACCCAAATCTCTGTCAACACAGGTAACTCTGCAAGTTTATCTCTTTTAATCCAAAATAGAATTGTCAGAATCCACTTTTCCAACATCAAGTAGTATACCTGTGACATTGTGTAGAACATTTTGACTTTTTGATAACGTATAGCAGTTTCTTTTGAAACAATCTTGCAAGTAAGTAAACCATAGTGATTCTTGGCTGTCATTTGATTACAAATATTTTAAATATGAAGTACCCAAATACAGACAAACCTCTCAAAAGATTAATAGGGATATGGGGTGGTTCATTAAAGCCAATTCTCCGTAGATGGGAAGGGATTATTTTTTAGTTATAAAATCACTATAGTAAGTACCACTAGTTATGATCATAATGTAAATACTATAAACATGTATGGCATAAATAAATATATGCTTAATATAGATATATAAATCAAAACAATAAAAGAAATAGATTTCTTACAGCTACTTTTTCATGCACGTGCTAATATATTGTAATTTATATACTGTGCACCCATCTTTGTTTACAATTGAAAATACTGTCACCGCCACCAAACAGTCACTTTGAGAACTAATACAAGTTGTTCTGCTAAGTCCACTAATTTTGAAAAACATTGATGATTTGAAGTTTTTTTTTTTTTTTTTTTTTTTCAGCAGATTTTTTATATTTATTTTGCCTGCAGATTTTGCCGGTTGCATCGAAATTCTGTTGATAGGGCGTTTGTCTGTACTTTCCAAAATTGAACTTGTATCAAAGGAATATTATAGGGAGTGAGCATTATCCAATTACAATCTTCTGGAATCCTGTCAAAGTTTACTTCCAGCGACAAGATGAAACACCCATTTGGTTAAGTAAAATGTGACTGGCACTGTTTAATCAGTGAGATCCAATTCTGCTTCATGGTAATTCTCAGCCACATGTTGCCAGGATGACTCTGCAGAAGCTCATTGACATTGCCACATTTTTCTTTTATGCTATCGCACTTCTCGCTTGTGGAACTCTCTTCTGGCTTCTTGCTTCCCAGTCAACTTTGATCTTCACAAATTTAAATGCAATGTCAAGTGTTATCTTCTGTCTTAATTTTTATTCTTTTATTGTCCTCTCTACTTAATAGTAGTTTTTCTCATATTCTCTAACACTCATACATTTCAGTGGCTTTATTGCCTTGCAATGATTAAAAAAAAAAATTAATAGAATCATAAAAAAAAAAACAGTTTGTTAGGATTAATGGTGTTGGGATATTTTCATTTTTTTTTCTTTATCTGCTTTTTTCCTTTCTCTCTAATTGTGCTCTAATTATGGGCATGACTGATTTGATTGCTTCAGATAAAATCCTGTGAATGCCTTTTTGTAAAATTGCCTAGCCTACTAGTACTGCTACATAGACAATCTACAATTTGGTAAATTTTCTTTGTTCACTACTAATTTAAATCTGATCTTCTTACTTAGATGGGTTAGCCAGAGTGGTTCTCAAAATTCCAGAATATTTTTAGGATACTTTCTGCTCATATCCTTTGTTTACATGATGAAGCTTAAGTTGTTTGCATAATTTCTGGTGTATTACTCTTCCTACCCTATCATGCCTGTTTGTACATTTCCACTGATCCATTTTATTGCATTCACTTAGGATGTTCATTTGTTCCTCTCTTTCGAGTGACACTTGCTGTTTTTTTCTGTTTGCCTTAAAATAAGTGGGCCCCATTAATTTTTTTTCTGGATGGTAGTGTTGTATCTTTACACCAAAGATATTTGGTCATTGTACATTGAGTGACAGCAAAGCTGCTGTGTGCATCTTGAATGCTTTTGGTGGTATTGAACAGTGTTGTATTTGATGGTACTTCTTGATGTAAACTTGGTGTGTGCCAAAAGTCTGAAGATCCTTAAAGAGCTTTTAGGGATATGTTTTTTTTCTAGGGAGTCATCTTGTTCATGGGAAAATCTTCAAAAGTTAGCATCTTGGGATGAGAAAGGACTATAGAACCGAAAATACTATACACAGATATAACTCTGAGGCAAAAAGCAACATATGTAGGGAGTGAAAACTTAATAAGCTTCCTTTGTTGGTTTGCCTAAATATATAGTGCTCTCTTATCTGCCTTCCTGTCACTGTTAAATAGCCTCTCATTGGTCAGATATAATGACAAGAAAAAGTCTGCAGTCTTATTTTGAAACGTTCATTCTCACAGCTGAAATCTCCTGTAACAAATTTCAGCAAGTTTTTAATATCTCTCCCATTACTTTTGCCAACTACAATATGCTTCGATTGTGTAACTTCTGAGTAACTTTTTATTTTTTTATTTTTATAATTTTCTTTTATTTTCAGATTTATGCATCTGAATCAAGACTTGATGTTTTGATAAACAATGCTGGTCTTGGCATAGGGCCCGTTAAAACTGCTAAACAAGGTTATGAATACACATTTGCAGTCAACCATCTTGGACATTTTCTTCTTACTCATCTCCTCCTTGGTTTGCTTAAAAAATCCAGTCCAAGTCGAATAATCAATGTCAGCTCCGTACGTCACAAGAATATGACCAGAACACTGGACTTTAGTCGAGAACCAAAACTAGGATCTGACATGAAATATCCTGGACTTTTTGGTTATGATGCAAGTAAACTTGCCCAAATCCTCCATACAAATGTCTTGGCTAAACAACTTAAGGAACATGGCGTTGTTGCTAACAGCATGCACCCAGGATATGTGTCATCTGGAATTTGGTATAGAGACAGTCACAACAAGTTTGCCATCATATTTACGAGATTGTTTGGTTTGTTGTCTACAATCATTGGACGAACTTCAGAAGATGGAGCTAAAACTGTGATTTACATGGCTGCAGACCCTGCCCTGGAAAAAGTCTCGGGGCAGTATTTTGAAAATGTGGCAATATCTAATCAGCTTTCAGCTTTTGCTAAGGATCCAGAACTAGCTCAAAAAATGTGGGATGTTTCAAGTGAGATGTGTGGACTGACCAAAAAAGTGGAATAGCAGTCTTAAAGGAAAGGACCTTCCTCCCTTACACTAGGTAACAAGAGAAATGACTCTTCTTCCTGTTGACCAATCAATGCTTGTTTTATCCTAAGATATATAAAATAAATCATTTTCTTACTTGTTTTAATTCTCCTTTTTTTTTTTTTTTTTTTTTTTTTTTTTTTTTATTATTATCAGAATGGAACTTTCAGAGAGTATGAAATTTTGCAAACCACTTTTGATAACATATTTTTTTGTTGTACCGTATCCATAAAATGTACAAATCTTTTGAGTTGTTTTTATCTTTTTAAAATGAAAAATGCACACTGAGTCTATTTCACAAGCATTCTAGCAAGTTCTTAGCCTAATCAAGGGGATTTTTTGTTTCTACAAATTTTTTAAAGTAGAGTTGGTCAGGCCAAGAATTTTTCAGCACCCTCTCATTTACATGGATGACATTTTGGTTATTGCAATGGAATTAGCAAAACAATTTCAAATTTCAGCTACACACTATGGCCCTTGAGACATGACTCTATCTATTCTCTCACCAAATTGTTGATAAAATGTGGGTAACGCTCTCTAGCATTTGTAGAACCACCATTTAATGAGAAGAGCAACAATGAATTGTAACTCCTGGTCACTATTCTAGGGATATGGCAGAAGTTGTGGAAGGCCTCAATCCTTCAATGAACTGAAAAAATGATTTTATATATAATAAAAAGAAAAAAAAATGTTTTCTTGATTTATCTTTACACTTTTTTAAATACTTTTTATTATATCTATATAAGAAGTTAAAATTACATAATGACTATTAAATTCTTATATTTTTTGATATATTTATAAATATTAACGGGGTTTGTTTAATTTTTCTTTCAATCAAAAAATTAAAGAAAGACTTCAAAACTTTATGAAATGTAAATATCTAGTAATTTTTTCTATAAACATTACTCATACTGACAGGAAATTTTAAAAATAAAATGAAAATTGTGTAATTTTTTTTCAAAATGGTAAAAAGACCAGACTTTTTTTTTTTTTTTTTTTTTTTAATCACATTTTCATGTCAGTCTTCTGAGTTTTGATATATAATTGTTCCGTTTTCTTTTTTTTTAATATCTGAACACATTTTGTATCAAACAAAAAAGCCCTTCAAATATAATAAAAATCTGAGTGAACAAAAAGTTGTTTAATTTATAAAAAAAATTAAATAAATGAAAGTCAGTTTTTTAAATTATATTTCAATGAACTTAATAAAAAATATATTTTGTTTTGCTACTGTTCAGGAATTTCATATCTCCGTCCTCATTCTAAACATTTATTTTCTTTCCCATCAAAGAACAGTTTTGGATTAACTTTTGCAGTTTTCCAAAGAACTGTGTCCTCTCTTTTTTCTGTAAAGACAAGAATAGATAATCTAAAAGTGAAATAACAGATGAGCAAAAACTTTCCAGCTAACTGGAATAGTTTTCACCTCATAACCAAAATAAATCTGGTTTAGCATTTTCCTGATAGAATGCTATGCCCTTTCTCTTTAATTCCACATACTTATCTTTAATTGGTCTTCTTGTGAATAGTATTTGTTTGAATCAATTGTTTGCTTCTCCAGAAGGAGATTATGGTAGAGAACATCTTTCTCATCTCACCATAAAAATAGGATCACCTTTAGATGAAGATCAAACATAAATGAGTACCGAAAATACTGATGCGTTTATTCTTTATTTGAAATTACGAAGAATAGAAATCTGCAAATACAGTATAAAGAAATTGTAATACATTGAGAGATTACACAGATATTCCTTTATCCTATCCTGAGTCACTGGTAAGTTCTTTCAAAGAATCAACAATAGGTGAGTTAATGTTGAAACTTACTGACAACTATTTGTATATCTGTCATAATTGAGCTATGAATGTGAATTTCTTTTTTATATCAACAAAAAATGTAGTTATTGAAAAATCTGTAAGAGTCCAACATTTGGTGAAACGCCTATTTTAAAATGAATAGTAAACTAATGTGATTTATTCAATAAAGTCACCCATTATCTGTCTATATTTCTGAGATGAGGTATTATGTACACTATTTATATTATTCAGACTATTGTCCTCATCTTTGTCGCCATATTTATTATGTTTCGGCCGTTGTATGCTCTGGCCTTCTTCAGGTGGTTGGAATGTCAAACTGACCCCTTTATTTCGCTCACTGGGGTAGACTGTTCTAGTTCCACGTGTCATGTCTAATGGATGTCAGTTATCTCCTGTTCAAGTCTTTCTCCAAGTTCTCCACCGCCTTAACCAAGCATAGAAATGAATACAATATGGGAACCAGTAATAAGGAGTGCCAGAGAAAAGCGATAACAAAAATTGCAATATGAGCTCTGGTAAAAAATGATTGCTGAAGACATTAGGTTTATAATAGCCAGAAATTCATACACGGATGTCCTCAAGGACACATGGCACAGTGGATAAAGGCGTTCATTAGATCCAGTGACAGGACCCAAAGTGTGTGGAGAACTTGGAGAGTGAATTAAGTAAAAGATAACTGATAACTGACATCCATTAGATACACTAGATCTGTGTGCACTCTGTAGATTGGTGGCACTAGTCCGTCAAACCGCATGTTCATGTACTGGAGTGTAACGATGGAGAGACTTCCTCTTGCACAATGTTATCCTTCCAGACCCATTCAACTGAAGTCTTAACATTATTTTCATACTAAAAGTATCACTGCAAATAAACTCATTAGCATCCGCAGAAAAAAACGTGTCAAAAAATGTCAAGCATGAGATAGCTTGTAGTCAGTATCATAATAAAAACTGCCAACCATGACTTATGCTTTGTAAACAATTTTGAAAGCAAGAATTTTGTATATAGTTTTTACAGTAAAAATTATGGTTTTGTCTGTGTTTAGAACAATATATGCTAATGTTTTAAGTATTGGATTTGAATTTTTGTTCAATAAAACTATTTCAAAGACAACTAGTTTTTTCACAAAACTTTGTCTTTAAAATAAGAGTTGGTCTTATACACCAAAAAATATGGTAATTAAAGCATCTTGATGAGTATAAACATTGTGGTAGTGGCTTATTTAATAAGGCATATTATAATTTGTTATTTGGATTACTTCCCTTTACTTTCAAACTGTGATACAAATGCTAAGATCATTACCGCTTTTAGGTTAGAAAAGTGTTCATTTAAATAACTAAGCAATTATAAATGCTATCAATAAAATTATCATTTTTTTTATAAAAAGAGGAAGAGATGCTGTCAACTTATTTTAGTGAATTTATGTTGTGAGAGCAAAGAAAAGAAATACTTGGAAAATTCATTTTTTTAAAATTTATAATTACAGTTATTTGTTATGTGTTTATTTAAATTTTCTTGTAGACATTTTTATAAATTTATGAATGAAAAAGTGCTTTTCATCTTTATTTCTTTATAAAATAGTAAATAATAATTTATTGTAGTTGATTCATATATTTTTATAATCTTGTAAATATAAAATTATTGTTGTAAATAAGCAATCTCATAAATAAATAGTGCTTAGTATTGTTGTTGTCAATTCTCAAGAATAAAGAAAATGCATAAATTCACTTTCATATATTTGAGTTTTAGTAAAATTCTAATCATTGCCTTTTAAAATAATAAACATTGCTGAGGGAGTCAAAACTTTATACAGTAATAGCAGTATCAAGGCAATAACCTTCCTTTTAAGACCCTGTTAAATATTGGTAAGAGTTTTATGCCAGACCAAGAAGTGATTACAAAATAAACTTTTATATTTGATCAGATTTTGGGAAATGGTTTAGGCTGAGATTTTTTTCAGTTCCTTCTCATATATTGTAAGTTAAGTTTGAGCTTAGACAAAGCTTTCTGTAATTAATCCATTTGTGAAATTGCAAAATCTTATATATGCAAGGATATCTTTTTGGCTTTTAAATATTTATTAATCTTAGTTTTGTATAGTACAAGGACAAATAAGGGAAAGAGATTGTGTTGTGCTGATCTTCCAAGCATACTGAAAATAAGGCAGTTATTGGAATAGAAAATAAAATAAAAATCGACTCCAACTAATCATATAACACATTTGTCCTCATGAAAACTGTGATATTGCTAAAACCTCATCTTCAACTAGTAAAAGTTAGATAAGAAACCAACAATGATTATAGCCACAACACAAATGCAAATTGTGAATATACAATTCATATATTAGTCAATTTTTTGGAAAAATTTTTTATCCAAGATTATCCCTTATGTTTAGTGGGTAATTGTGTTTGAGTTACTGTTTGTTATTTTATTGAACAGTGAAATTAATAACAATAAATTGAGAAGTCCTACTAAAGAAAAATTGTAACTCTGACAGCAATCGAACCTGCATGCTTTTTTTCCATCATGGGAACCGTTTACATTTATAGTCATAAGAAATAGTGGTCAATGTCAATTGTTTTATTCTGGAAGTAATTTCACTGAATTATTTCCCTTTAACAAGGATGGAAAGGACGCGATTTCTATTCTATTTTTCTTAAATGATAAATACTTGTCAGATGTTTAATTTATCAGAATAGTATCAATAATTTTTTGTAGCCCTAAATTTTCACAAAATCAAGATATTTATATGTTTATTAATGAAAAACTTCTAGAGCCAGGAAAATAAGTTCTTGAAATTATGGAAATTATTGGTCAGGAATATTTCTTTCCCTTTAGTTTTTGCTCTGCACAGAAAGAGACTTCCTTTTTTGGATCAGATAGTCACTGACAATGAATAACATAATTATTATGAGAATCCAAGACTACCTTTAAAATTTTGGCAATGTTTAACCTTCATTCCTGAAAAAAAAACCTTGTGTCAAAAGGATGGTTATACCCTTCACACCATTTATTACTGATTAAACTTTTGTCTCCCTCAGAAATACTTGTTTTAAAAAGTGATGATTAGAATTTTAATAAAACCCAAACATATGTGAGTGGATTTATACATTTTCTTTATTCTTGAGACTTGGCAACAAAGATATTAAACACTATTTATG